GGGGAAGGTCACCAAGTCAGAACAGGAGGGGCCTGTGGGCTCCTCCCTGCGGCCTCAGCCCCAGTGACCACTGTCCCCACAGATGGATCTCATCTCCACCATTGGCGAGAGCGCCGCCCTGGGCGCAGCCGGGGTCATCCTCTGGGGCGACGCAGGCTTCACCACCAGCATGGTAAGTGACCCCCAGCCTCCCCGCCTGCAGGCTCTGCGGGAGCAGGGTGAGTGTTCGGGCTTTTGGCTGCCAACCTCAAGGTGGGCATATCTAGTCTGGCCCCCTTGTCTGTCTCCTACCCAAGACATCCCTGGTGCCAACAGAGAAGACGAGGCCTCCTCTCCTGCTCCCAGGAACGGGGACGTGCTTTCCTGAACCCTTCCCTGCTGCCCTGCAGGCTCCAGCCTCTGCCCCTACCCTTCTCAGTAGGCGCAGGGACAGGGAGGGCTCGGGCACAACCACGTGTATATGTGTGTCACCGGTTCAAGAAGGTGCGGGCATGACATCGAGGGCACAGTGTCCGTCTGGGTCTGGGCGGAGGCAGCTGACCTGATTCCTGGCCTCTGCCCCCAGGAGACGTGCCAGTACCTCAAGGAGTACCTGATGCGGCTGCTGATCCCCTACGTCGTCAACGTGTCCTGGGCCGCCCATTATTGCAGCTGGGCCCAGTGCCACGGCCACGGGCGCTGCGTGCGCCGAGACCCCAGCACCAACACCTTTCTGCACCTCAGTGCCAGCAGCTTCCGCCTAGTGCCCAGCCACACGCCGGGCGAGCCCCCGCTGCGGCCAGAGGGGGAGCTCAGCTGGGCCGACCTCGACCACCTGCAGAAGCACTTTCAATGCCAATGCTACTTAGGCTGGGGCGGCGAGCAATGCCAATGGGACCGTGGGCGGGCAGCCGGGGGTACCAGGGGGCCCTGGGCTGGGTCCCACCTCACTGGCCTGCTGGCCGCGGCAGCCCTAGCCCTCACCTGGACTTTGTAGGGATCTCCCACCTGGCTTCGGGCAAGCTGGCCTCTGCCGCAAGGGCTCTGCCAGGCATGTAGGAGCCTGCACAGGGTGGATGAATGAGTCCAGAGGGGGCAGGGCCCCTGGGATGCCTGGAGGGATCCTCATCCGCTCTCACCCCCTGTTCTAAGGGGGAGGGGCAGTCCCTTGGGGGACCCCTTCTGTCCCTGCCAGAGGAAGAGGGACATGGCCCACTCCCCTGCTCCTGGGTAGTTTATTATTATTATTTCGGGGTCTCTTTTGTAAATTAAATATAAAACAACTGCTTCTGTGCTTGGATTGCCTGCCCCTGGGCCAGGGCCTGTGAGTGAGTGCTCTCTTCCGTGAGGTTGGCGCCCAGCTCTGTCCCTGTGACGCCTGTTAGGGACTTCTTGTCGGTAAATGTGTCACTGGGACCAGGGCCTGCAGCCCACTCTGCAGCTGTCCAGCTGTCCTGCTGGGACGGGGCCCTGGGAGCGGAGGC